CGGCGGCATGGCTGGGTCGAGCGTGGAGCTTGGTGGGCGTGGAAGCGGCGTGGGCGGCTCACTCGGCCCCGGGAGACGCTCGCGCACGCCCCTCACCGACCTGGACGCGAAGTTCGTCGCCAAGGTAAGTTGTTTCTCTGGTTGAAGTTGTCGTTTAAGGTGTTTCTTTTGTTTCTTGTGCTGTCAGGGGATCTTTGTCGTGGCGGCATCGCCTTCCCTTATAAGCGACAGATTTGCTGTTATGGGAATGTTTGGAAAGTACTTACATATATGTAAAAAAAAAATGTTTTGAGTAACTTCATTTACGTGCGCATCATCATGCGTACATACCGGTATACATGTAGGCCTATGCATACAGACCAGTATACATAAATACGTACATGCATACAAACATAAAAACAAACATACAAACAATCATACATACATACATGCATAGATACATACATACATGTATACATACATGCATACATCCATACATACATACATCCATACATACATGCATACTTACCTACCTACATACATACATACATGCATGCATGCATATATGAATACATAATACATACATCTATATATGTGACAGAGTGAGTGAGTGAGTTGAGTGAGTGAGTGTGAGTGAGTGAGTGGTGTGTGTGAGTGTGAGTGAGTGAGTGTGTGTGAGTGTGTGTGTGTGTGTGTGTGTGTGTGTGTGTGTGTGTGTGTGTGTGTGTGTGTGTGTGTGTGTGTGTGTGTGTGTGTGTGTGTGTGTGTGTGTGTGTGTGTGTGCGTGCGTGTGTGCGTGTGTGTGTGTGTGTGTTGTGTGTGTGTGTGTGTGTGTGTGTGTGTGTGTGTGTGTGTGTGTGTGTTGTGTGTGTGTGTGTGTGTGTTAACTATACGCATGATTTTTATTTTTCAAGTTTGGCTGGAATGTCCACCATCGGAAGCGGATAGCAGAAGTTTTATCTTACAAAAGCTTTCCCTAAATGTCAAAGGATAACGTCGTTTTCTGTGACTTTGATAGTTGAAGAAAATGATACTCTCGAGCTTCTCTTTTCGGGGAAACTGCTCTATTTACAAAAGTCTGCACTTATCCCATTTCGGTGGATTTTATGCAGAAGGAATGAGCTGCATTATGAGCGTGTTTCTGCTTTTTGTTAGATTTTTGGAGTTGTCTATCGACTGGCAATGTTGCTGTAACTGCCTTGGGATCACGGAGGTACAAGATTATCCGAAGTCTCTGGGAGATGTTTTGCTGGAAATATTTAGGTATTGAGATATTATTTTCCGTTGATGGGAGAGCATGGTCATAAAGGTATTCATATTTATTGTTGTGATGTTAACCTTACTTTATCATCATGCACATAAATTGGTCTTGGTAACCATCATTGATTGGCATTATGACTTAGAATTGCGCATTTTAGTTACGAAGAGAAAGAACGACAAAATACAACGAAATGCAACGCAATAACTTTCCCAGGAGCGAATATCTGCCATTGTCCGGAACCCCTACATTCAACGGTTATTTTATAGGCAAGAGCCAACTGGGGGCTGCAGGCACCATGAGACTCGTCCTATTTCCCCCCCTTTTTATTTCGCTGTCATTCTGTTTGAACCGGTCAATTTAGTTGAGTGCCGCCCGCCCGCTTCCCGGTCAGTCAAATGCCATAGAAAGCTGGAAAACGAGTAACATGAGGGGTGACTATTGTATCATTGATGTCAGTCGTCGGATGTACATAAGCTAGCTCTTTATTGGAGTCTGTCTCATATGCCAGTGGGTTTTGTAATAGCCGATAATCTGTTGTTTTATTTCGGTGACTGATATATAGCATATATGTGTATAACGCATATTAGACTGGTGAAACTCACTCCTTTTCTTATGAAAACCAGATATAATTAGATGTGTTCACACTTCTAAGATGATTAGGAGGAGGAGGAGGAGAAAGAGCAAGAGAAAGAGAAAGAGAAGAAGGAGGAAGAAAAGAAGAAAAAAACACCACCACCTCCAGCAGCAACGACAACAATCCCAGCGTTCCTCAGCCTCAGTTATGCCAGACATTTTGTTATCTCTCGTCAATCAGCGGCGTCAAAGCGTCTCAGAAATGGCCCGCTAGAGCCCTGCGAGGTTCGTTATAGGACATTTATAGCCTTTAACGGCCTTGTTTCCTCTTTTCATTTACGTCTCTCTTACCTTTCTCACCTTTTTTCTTTTCTTCTTTCATTCGCTCTCATTCTTCCTCATGATTTAACGAAGTGCGAGGAAAGGAAGCGCCGTGGGACTTTAATTGGCTTATTTTCGTATCGTGTTGGCGGGTAATAGCGGGGTCGGAGTGTCGCCAGTGTGAAGGATTTTTTTTACATTCTCTCTCTCTCTCTCTCTCTCTCTCTCTCTCTCTCTCTCTCTCTCTCTCTCGCTCTCTCCTCTCTCTCTCTCTCTCTCTCTCTCTCTCATCCTCTCTCTCCCTCTCTCCTCTCTCTCTCCTCTCTCCTCTCTCTCTCTCTCTCGTCTCTCTCTCACTCTCTCTCTCTCTCTCTCTCTCTCTTCTCTCTCTCTCTCTCTCTCTCTCTCTTCTCTCTCTGCTCATCTCTCTCTCTCTTCTCTCTCTCTCTCTCTCTTCTCTCTCTCTCTCTCTCTCTCTCTCTCTCCTCTCTCTCTCTCTCCCCTCCCACATCTTCTCCTCTCTCTCCTCTCTCTCTCTCTCTCCTTCTCTCTCTCTCTCTCTCCTCTCTCTCTTCTCTCTCTCTCTCTCTCTCTCTCTCCTCAATCGTAACATTTCAATCAGTGCTATTTTTCTAAAGCGTAGTAGTTTGATAGTGAATATCTAACTGGCATTTTGTTTATAAAATGATAATATTTCAGAGTTGTGAGGTAGGTGTGTGCTGTTGACACAAATCGAGCCCAAGTTATAGACTGGGAGCTGTTTTGATTACGTTGGGTCAGAATAGGTAGTTTCCCGTCTGTGTTGTGTTTAGGAACGATGCTTGGTTTATTGCGCCGTCACCTGTAACTCAGCCTGTTATATTCACCCCTTTGCTTGTTTTATTTGGGCTTCTGTCCCTTTCTCTCTCTCCACTCTTCTCTTCTCTCTCCTCTCTCTCGTGTCTCTCTCTCTCTCTCTCTCTCTCTCTCTCTCTCTCTCTCTCTCTCTCTCTCTCTCTCTCTCTCTCTGCCTTTCAGTTATGTATTTTTTTTTATTCTCTTCTTTCCCATATCCTGCCTCTCTCTCTCTCCTCTCTCTCCTCCATTTCTTCCCCCCTCTCTCCCCCCCCCCTCCTTTTTTCGTTCCCTCTCTCTCCCCCTCCCTCGCCCTCCCTTCTACCCCCCCCTTCTCCCGCTCCCTTTCTTTTCTTTCCCCTGAAGTCTACCCATCCATAATCCCATTGTTTGTTTGGAACTACGCCGCCGATTCTTCCAAGGAAACCGTAGTACACGGAGACGTCTTGTTGTTGTGTTCTTGCTTTTGTTTTTGTCTCTCTCTCTCTCTCTGCTCCCTCCTCCCCTCCTCCTCCCTCCCCCCTCTCCTCCCTCCCCCCCCCTCTCCTCCTCCTCCCCTCCCCCTCTCCTCCTCCTCTCCTCCCCCTCCCCTCCCTCTCTCCCCTCTCCCTCTCTTCTTCTCTTCCTTCTTTCCTTCCTCTTCATATGCATGTGTGTGTAAAAAGAAGAAGAGAGAGAGAGAGAAGAGAGAGAGAGAGAGAGAGAGAGAGAGAGAGAGAGAGGAGAGAGAGAAGAGAGAGAGAGAGAGAGAGAGGGAGAGGGAGAGGAGATGAGAGGAGATAAAAGAAGAAGAGAGAGAAGAAAGAAAATAGATAAAGGAGAAAAGAGAGACAGGAGAGATGAGAGTAAAGGGGAGGGGACAGGGAAGAGAGAGAAGGCAGTGCTAGATTTTCTTTATTACTCTTTTATAACCCATTTCTTCCAAGATTCTCAAACTTCTCTTTAATAATTCTCCCAAGGGGATAATTTCCTCTTGTTGTCTTGCGTTTCTCTTCCTCTCTCTTTTTACTTCTTTTGCTTCCTTCCATCTCACTCCCTTTCCTCCTCCGTCTCCCTCTCCCTCACTCCGTTAGGGCTATGTAAATTCATGTTCAGAAGTCTTCTTTGTTCCCAACTCCATCTCCCCCCCCCCTCCCCTCCTTTATTTCTTCCTCCTCCTCCTCTCTTCTCTCCTCCATGTCTTCCTTCTCCCCCTCTCTTCCTACTCCTCCCTTCTCTCCTCCATGTCTTCCTCCTCCCCCTCTCTTCCTACTCCTCCTCCCTTCTCTCCTCCATGTCTTCCTCCTCCTCCTCCTTCTCTCCTCCCATCCTCCTCCTCCTCCTCTCCGCCTCCTCATCTTCCTTCTTTCTTCCCCAAGGGCGCCGAGAGCCTCCTTCCACCAGCCAGTGTCCGCGCGGCCCCTCAGGGTTTTAATTACACGCGGAGCACTATGTGGCCGCCCGCTGTATCTCCGCCCTTTAAATATGGCGGCTGGAAATCTCGGCGAAATGTTTATCAAAATTTCTTCCCAAGGCTTGATCCTCGTCGTGTTTATTAGGGGGATGTAGTTGGTGTGTTGTGTGTTGTGTGTGTGTGTGTGTGTGTGTGTGTGTGTGTGTGTGTGTGTCGTGTGTGTGTGTGTGTGTGTGCTGTGTGTGTGCGTGTGTGTGTGGCGCGTGTGCGTGCCCTGTGTGTGTGTGTTTTGGTTGTTTTCGTTGAGGATTTAGTGGTAGATAGCTTTGTAGTGTGTTATTTTATTTGTAAGTATTATTGTTTAAGTTGTGAGGGTTGTTTGAGCTAATAAGCAAATTGTAGATAGTTTTGTATTTGTTTTTTTAGTATTTTTTTATTGTTAGTTGGGATATACGGGCTGTGTCATTTGATAAGCCAACAGTGGTAGACAACTTTGTAATGAGCGTTTTTTTCGTTAAATGAGTTAACGCTATTTGAATCTTTATGGCTATTTATTATCGTTTAATGTCGTGTAAGTTGGTTCCTTGGCGCCAGAGTGGCTGCAGAATACCAATGCGAGGCAGCGGAATGCTAATCCCTTGGAGGCCATTCGCACACCCAGCATAACATGATGACGTCATCAGGAAGCGATTGCGTGGCACGGGCGACGGCGCACGGCGATGGAGTCTGTGACGGGCGGGAGATGCGATTTAGGCGTGAGCGG